TAACTGTGACCACCAAAGTTTCCCAGCTTTCGGGAAGTGAACTAAGAAGTAACAAAGCTTGCAACTCATCATCAAAAGTAATTTTCATGGCGGCCAACTGATTCACAATGCTCTTAATCTCATTCAAATGCTCTGCAATAGAAGTACCCTCCTTATATTTAGAGTTCACAAGCTTTCGAAATAAAAAGGCTTTATTCACTGCCGTCTTTCTATCATACAAACTCTCCAATTTGGTCCAAAGACCATGTGCAGATTTTTCTGTAGAGACATGATGAAAGACACTATCATCAATCCATTGCCGAATAAAACCGACAGCTTTCCGGTCTAGCTTTTTCCACTCGTCATCTTTCATCCCTTCCGGTTTGCCACTATCACCCTCTATGGGTCCATTCAAATCTTTACAAAATAAAAGATCTTCCATTTTAGTTTTCCAAGTCACCCAATTTGTGCCATTGAAACTAACCATACGTCCAACGTTGTCGTCCATAATTCACACACAGAAATATAACGAATCGGAACCGAATTAACCAATTGCTTTGATACCAGATGTTGGGAAAATAGGCTTTCCCACAAGTGTAAATCAATGGAAGCAATATAAATAAAATAACAGAAAATAAATAAGCACACAAGATTTACGTGGTTCCCTCAAATAACTTGAGGTACATCCACGACGACCGGTAGGTCAGTTTCTTCCACTATCACCAAATCAGATTACAAAGTGGCCAAAAGGCATAAGCCTTACAAACACACCAAGGTGTAAATCACAAGAGGAAAATACCTCACAAAATAAGTGAATCAAATCTCCAAGAACAAACCGCAAGAAACCCAAATATCAAGTGAAGAAATGTTACCCACTTGAAGAACAAATTTGCAGATTTTTCTGGCACCAAAAAGGAGAAGAAGAAGGCTGAATTTTTGTTGAACCAAAGACTGCCGAAAATATGTCTTCTTGCCAAACCAATAGAGAAAAGATGAACCAAAGAAAATGACAAAACTAATAGTCTTTTGGTGGCTGCCAAATTTCTTTTAACTTGAAGACTCCAAACCAAGTCTTGGATAAGAGTCATACATGGGTAAGCCACCAAAAAATTAGCAAATTGATGAGTCCCACAAAGGAGGGAAGCTCAACAGTAAGTAGGATCGGAGCATAGTTGTTGCCTAGGGAAGCCATGGCTTACCCGGGGTTCTAAAAAGCCTTGCTTTGCTCTTTCCCTGCTCATGATCATAGCCACCACAATCTGAACATAATTCACCACCCAACATCTTTTAAAAACCTGAAATCACCCCCAAAAACACATCACCATTTATCATCTCCGTCGCTGTCCACCATCTAGGTCCACCCCACAAACAACCCACCACCAACTAACATACACTTTTTTCTGATTTGGGTTTGTTGGTTTGGCTAGTATTGTGGATGTTTGGCTTTGAAAAAGTTTCTGATACCAGCTTCTGGATTATTTGTGGCCTTTTCAGAATGGACATTTAGAAGTACTGTTAGTCTTAATTATGCAGGATTTGCCTTTAAATCAGCAATATAGCTAAACGCATATAACAACGATGAAATAAACTGGCAAATGCTAATTACAAATTGAAATAAAAGCTGTCAAACAAGGCAGGAAAATAAACATCTGCTTGAACGAATGATTGAACGGTGTAACAAGCAAGCCTTAAATATTGTGAAAGAGGACAAGAAGTTCTCCAGCTTAAATATCTTTTCCCTTTGTCCGGTAGTTTAGAAGATGGTTAAACAAGCATAGCCTACAAGTTCTCTAGCTTTACAATTGTTACAGGAAGAACCATGCCCCTAGAAACCAGATTAATCCATTCTGTTTTTTTTTTTATTATTTATCTACAATGCTTTACAATAGCAAGGAGCACCAAGAATCCTAGCGAAAGCTACACTAATACAATTTGCAACAATACTATGCTTATCACCTTTCTGTATCATTTTTCAGCATCATCTTAATATGAAGCATTAGATTAATGGGTCCCATTAACTTCATTGAATTTTCAATGGCTAGAATCATTCTACATCAGGTGGTGCACAAAAATGGTGTTCATATGATTATTGTACAATTTAACTCAAAATAACTAAAATAAAAATCATTGTCTCCAGTTTTGAGAGTGATCCATGCCACTTACTGATGGGTCCCTCCTGCAATTAACATAAACGTTGTATCGATTTTTTTGAAAACAAAATCGATACAATGTCTGCTTGGAGAGGATGAGATTCGATTAGTTGCTTGAAAAAGATAGAATCCGTAAATGGCTGCATGGAGAAAAAACAAAACGAACGATGTTGACGTTTCTAAAACCAAAATCGATACAATATCTTCTTGGATATGATGAGATTTGGTGGCTGCTTGAAGAAAATAGAATTCGTAAATGGATCAATGGAGAAAAAACAAAATGTTGGTTGGCAAAAATATTTATGGAATCCTTTCAAAATTCAAACGGTTAATAATCCATTAATTTAGGAAACCAACTATAATAAAACATAATCAAAAAACAAAGAAACTACTAAGTCTTGCATAAATTAAGTAAAGGACAATGATATACTACAAAAATATGTAAATTTGAAAAAATGTATATGGTTTCCAAATCTGGGCATATCCTTTAAGAGAAATAAGTTATGTACAATGTACCCTTTCCTAATTTTTCCTTTTTTAATTTTTCGGCTAACCGTTTATCTTAAAAAACACTAGGTTTAAAATTTTTAGGTAACTATTTCTGTTAAAAAAAATATTAGAACTCGTTAAATTTTCTCTTTAATTACCTAGAGAATATTAATCTCTAATTACACATAACGGATCTAAAATTTATAATTGTTCAAAATTATGGTGGGACCAATAAAAAAAGTTTAAATTAATGAATTAATGTGACATTGGGAAAATCGGTTGCTCAATCCATTCAATTTAATTTTTTATTCAAAAATTTGATTAAATTACATTTTTTAAGTCGATTTAGTATTAACATAGAATTGAAACTTTATTATAAATCTGTTCTCCTTCTCACAAACTATTATTTTCACCCTAATTGAAATTGCAGTCACCCATGCATTGTTCAATTGTTAAAAATTGATGAGTTCAAAATCGATTGGGCTAGGCCCAATAAAAATGAACCAAGAGGAGCTCAAATTATCAGTACCCAAGAAGGAGCCCAAGGCCCAAAGCACCAAAAAGGGTCCAAGTCACCAACGCTTGAAGGACACACCCAAGGGGGCACCGCCCATGGCCCGGGTGCCGTCCAAGAGTTGGGCTCCCTTGTCTTCTCTTCGTCATCCTCACTTTGCCACTCCAACTCAGTCCGGCCAAACTCTGGATCCTCCTTTCAAAGAAATAAGAGCATACAATATTGAGATACGAAAATCTAATTTTACCATAATTGTATTTACTAAAAAGTAGTGACCGCTTCACCAAACCTATATAATATAAACCCTCTCCACATAGATGACATGACCTTTGAGACCTCTCTATACACCAAGTATCTCTCTCCCAAAACTCTATAATTCTCTTGGAGAAAACTCTCCGATGACTTTTATTCATCAATATAGATCTTCGACAATCATTACTATTACCAAGCGTAGAGTAGGTCACCCAAACCGAACCACTATAAATCTGTGTGCTTGCTATTATTCATTGTTTTGTCATTGATTGTCTGCTTATTACTCATTAACTACATTTTTACGTATACTCGACTGTTGTCTTGCATAATACCGATTTATGCTTCATAAGACGGTACTCACTTTTTATCTTCTCCTCATTATTTTTTTTCTTAAATTTCATTACTTTCTATTTTTTTTAAGTTAATTTTTGGATTCATTTAGTATGCCACATGGATTGATTTGATTGGTTTAGTACTGAGGTGGCATATCTATTTTTCTTGTAATAAACAACATTAAATGAAAAAAAAATACCTTTTTTTTTTATCAAGTGTATTTATATATATTGGCGATTAGACAATTTTCCCCATTTACTATGAATAATTCCCAAATTCCAATTATTTTCCGAATCCGGAATTTCTTCACGGGGCAATTCAAACCGACTCGTGAACTATATACATGGGTCAAAAGCTTAACCCGAACCATTAAAAATAGCGGCAAGTTCATACTGTTGTCGGCACTATCCTCGCATAGGAATCCAATTCCGTCTCCGCCTGCTCTCTCTACAACCTGAAGAGAGAGAGAGAAAGAGACGGTGCGACATTGCCCTCTTCGACATTGATTCTCTCTCTCTAACAGCGCGGTGTAGGTCATTGATCGTCTATTGATTTGTTGGTCATTGATTTGTGGAATAAAACATGAAACAGTACCGTTTAGGACACTCTATTTAGACTTTGGAGAGAGAAATTTGGGAGTGAACTCGGATTTTTGATGCTTTGGTTCAATGCTGTTAGATGATTAATGCTGATCTTGACAAATTCATCTAGTTAGGGGAAGATTTGTGCATTTTAGTAATTATCATCATTTTTGCGGTAGAACAAACCAATCTGGCAACTGGGCTTGGATTCAGGCGTAGCTTCTAAAACAGTAGGAAACTTTGATTTCATCCTTGCTAAATAATTTTGTTGCCCTATAAAGAGTGGCGGCCTTGAGATAGATCTTGTGAGGGTGATTATTACTATTATGTTGCTTTCCAAATGGTTGTGGATGTTTGTAAACAAAGTATTGAGGCTTTGGACAAAAGTTCTATGTATGCGATTAGCAGTAATATTTGGAATTCTCATGTGAAAACAGTCATAGAGGAATGGGTATGGGTGTTAATTTGTGTCCACAATGCTAGTAATGAATTGGAAAACTTGGGTATTGGATAGATGAGGCTTGTTCATCTGTCATATTCTCTTCCCTAAATTTGCATTTGCCCAAATGAATTCGATTGCAGTGTTTCCTTCACTAGTAGCAGGTTAATTATAAAAAATAAGTACCCCTGAAAATTTTCAGTTTATGGATGTAGCTTAATTCTTTTCTCTGCGTATCAGTAATCTAAGCTTGATGTTGGTCAATGGCAGGTCTGCTACCAGTGGATTCTTTGTATGTGGATATTCTAATATCCATCTGTAGATCACCTGAATTTCCTGGTGATGAATTGTTTGAGGAAATCTCGAGAGTGTTGAAGCCTGGTGGAGTGATTTTGATCCACCTGACTTCTCAGTCTGCTACAGGGAACATGGTAATGTAACAATTATCCCTTTTCTAACTTGTTGGAAGATCAAGTTATATTAATCTTACTGAGTTCTTCTTGCAGACAACTCTCTTCTGTTGAGTGCAAATTACTGTTGGCAGGGTTTTTGGATGTACAGGTTGTTCTAATGACACAAGTTGTACCATCTGAAGTTGTCCAGTCTTTTGGGGTTAGTATCTGTTCATTTTTAGTTGCCAACACTTCCCTTTCCTTATCCCCCCCTCCCCTCTCCTTCCCCCATTTCTTCTCTTTATGATAGAGAGTAATGAACCCTAATGGGTGAATGTTAGGATGAGTGAGAACCATGATCGAGAGATATTCACTTCTACCAGATATGCTTTGTATGATTGTTGGATTGGGTAAAGTGAGGAAAGTTTAATGTAAATTATTTTCTTACAAATGGTCTCTAATGTACTTCTAGAACTAACTTTTTTCTTGCATTGTAAAGGACTTCGGTTTATGGAATGCATTGAACACAAGTCTTAATATTTGATTTTTTTCCCCCGAAAGTGGAAATAGTAGGGATTTTAAAACCACGGCTTTATATCACTGATAATCTCCCTTTGTTCTGATGGATTGGTTGATGTGTATCCGTTTATTTCACCAACTTAATTTGATTTTTTTCCTAAACAGATTACGGCAAAGAAGCCTTCTTGGAAAATTGGTTCATCCTTTATTATCAAGAAAGCCTTGACAAATTTACCCAAGGTCCATATTGATGATGACGTGGATCTGATAGATGAAGATACCCTCTTAACTGAAGAGGATTTGAAGAAACCCCAGTTGTTACCTGGAAAGACAAACAAGATTGAGTACAACTGCGTCTACTCTTATTGAGTGCAACATTGTTCGGATTTTTTGGCTCATGGAAAAACTAGATTAAGTGTCACTGCTTGTACTCTTATTGAGTGTGACATTATTGGGAGTTTTTGGCACTTGCTGAATGAGTACACACTTGCAATTGGTGATTGTGAGGTTGGAAGCACAAGGAAAGCCTGCAAAAATTGCACCTGTGGACGGGCTGAGGTAGAAAAGAAAGTGGAGAAGCTAGGACTGGCAATGGATGTTCTGTAATACAGCCCAGGAACAAAAACCAAAGCCTAAAAGTGATAAGCAACTAAACTAGTTTTGACAGTAGTCAATCATATATATTGTGGATGCATATAATATAACTTTTGACACATGTATCAAATTAAAACTAATAATTAAGCAAATGCAATTGAACATAATATAAAAAATGAAAAATAAATTAAAAAGTTCTAGCCTTTGAGAGTCTGTGAGGCATGTTGGAACCTTGTTCTAAAGCAACTGAGTTTCCCTACGTGAAGGTATTAGCAGACTGCAGCGGCTCCAAAATACAACTAAAATTCAAAACAAGAACTCTTCAGGGTTCACATACACTGAAGAGTGAGGATGAATCTGATTTTACTCGAGTTGTCCGAAAATTAATATAATCAAAATAATCAAGTGCAGTAGTAATCAAAAAAGAAAACTGAAGAAAAGGACGAACGAGAGATGGAAATGGAAGCGAGATGAAGATGGCAGATACATGGTTGTTGTCAGGTTTTCTCTATATATTAAATACTTCATTGACTTTGCCTTTATATAGGCAGATGCTTTCCCAATCGGTGGAAAGAATAAAAAAAAGGCAGTTGAAAAATGTTGTTGAGAAGGAAAAGTACACAACGGTTTGGCATGTCAAATTGGGTTGCAACTATTCAAATAAAACAAACTTAAATTCAAGTTTCAAAGTTTAACTGTCATATCTCATGAAGAATTTCTCCACATGTACATGGTATAAAATAATCCAAGACATTAAATATCTCTAGGAAAAAGATGAAATATGGAATCATTTTTGCAAGAAAAAGAAAAAAAAAATTAATTTATTCTAACAATCCCCCACAAATTTTTTCTTTTAAAAACCAAATATATACAAATTATATTATATATAAAAGGAAAAAATTGGGCAACTATAATACTGTGTAATAGGTGTAGGTGTCTTTCGAACTTGAACCTCACTTAGTATTAACTGTTTTTCTCTGAAAGACTATAGTAATCAAAGGCTTGAACTAGACCCTTTGAATCAGAGTTAAACATGTTACACACACAGTACCGATATAAGTCATGATTTGGGTTAGTGCTATTAAAGGCCATGCACTCAATCTTGATTCTCATGAGAATTTTAAAGAACAACTCAATTCTCATAGTCGTGGCTTCACAACTCTCATTTAGGTGAAACCTCCAAGGGCATATGTGACCTCTACCCTGCAAGATTGTTCTTGTCTCGGTCTCATTCAGGATAACAACCATTCCTTAATGTCACACTTTAAATGCACTTCTGTCATAGGAATGAGTAAGAGAATATCTCCTCCTAGGATATCTTCAAATTTAAGTGCTAAATAAGTCACGTAATATGAATTGTTTCTAATCATTGAACTTCCTTCATGGGGTTTCCAATCACAAAAGTTGGGTTACCTTCCTAGGTGACTTCCTTATGGGTTTAGACCTATACCTCTCGACAGTTCTAAGACGACTTTTCTTGAAAGTCCTTTTGTTAGTTGATTAACAATATTCGATTCTGACTTCACAAAATCTAGTGAAATTATGTTGTTACTTAACATTTTCTTCACATATTTATATCTTACTTGGATATGTCTATTCATCTTTTTATTATTATGAGTTTGCTTCACAAGCTCAATCACAGCTTTATTATCACAATGCAAAGACATTGCAAGTATAGGCTTATTCAATAAAGGTATATCTAGTAATAAACTCTTAATCCACTCAGCCTCGGTACAGGTGGTATCTAAGGCTATAAGCTCTGTCTCCATTGTACTTCTAGAAATTATAGTTTGCTTTTTAGATTCCCAAAATATGGATGCCCCACCTAACAAGAAAATATAACCAGTAGTGGATTTTATATCTAAACTATCGGTAGTCCAATTCGCATCACTAAAACCCTCAACGACGCTTGTAAATCCTTTATAATGTAAAGAGTAATCTAGAGTTCCTCTAAGATATTTAAATACCCTCTCTAAGGCAGTCCAATGCTCTTTACTAGAATTTTGTGTATATCGACTTAGTCTACCCACAACATAAGAGATATCTGGTCTAAACTTATTACCCAAGTATAATAAAGATCCTATCATTTGTGAGTACTTCAATTGTGATATAGGGTCTCTATTATTTTTCTTTAAATGTATATGAGGGTCATATGGTGTCGATACTGGTTGACTGTCATAAAACTTAAATTTCTTCAACATTTTCTCTATGGTGTTAGATTGACTAAGAAATATTCCATTTCCTATTTTCTCTATTTCCATGCCCAAGATTACCTTGGCTTCTCCCAAGTCTTTCATATCAAACTTCTTAGATAAGTAAGATTTAGTTTCTTTAACTATTTCTAAATCAGTCCCAAAATTAGAATATCATCACATAAAGACATAAGATCACACATCCTCCAATATTTCCTCATAATATAAACATTTTTCACTTTCATTTATTCGAAAACCATATTCTAGGATTACCTTATCAAACTTCTCATGTCACTGTTTAGGTGCTTTGTTTCAAACCATATAAAGATTTTACCAACTTGCATACCTTATATTCTTGTCCCTTTACTATAAAGCCCTCAGGTTGCTCCATATATATTTCTTCATCTACGTCTCCATTTAGAAAAACAGTTTTGACATCCATTTGATATATCACTAAATTATGGATAGAAGCAAAGACAATTAAAATTCTGATGGTAGTGATACTAGACACTGGTGAGTATGTATCAAAATAGTCTATTCCTTTTTTTTGTGTAAATCCTTTGGCTACCAGTCTAGCTTTGTATTTATCTATACTCACTCAAGTTTTAATTTTTATCTTGAACACTCATTTATGTTCTATCGTCTTGCTTCCAGGAGGCAACTCTACTATCTCCCAAGTATTATTTTGTAAGATTGATTCAATCTCACTATTAATAGCCTCTTCCAAAAAGGAGCTTCTAAAGAGGACATAACTTCTTTGTAAGATGTAGGCTCACTTTCCACTAGAAAGGTGAAAAAATCATCTCCTAAATTCTTTTCTATTCTTGGTCTTTTACTTCTTTTTAACTCTACTAGCATCTCTCTATCTTTCCTTAAAGGATCACTATTGCTAGTTGAAGATTCATCATTGGTCAAAGGTGTTTGTTTCACTTGGGTTGGTATCTTGCTTCTAAAAAGAAATATATCTTCAAAAAATGTAGCATCTCTTGACTCTATGATTGTATTATTAGATATTCCATTTATTTCAGAATCAATAACTTGAAATCTATTGGCACTAGTATTTTGACCATATCCTATAAAGATAGTGTCTACAGTCTTAGGTCCAATTTTTCTTCTTTTTGGTTCAGGTATAGCTACCTTAGCTAAACACCCTCACACTTTCATGATACCAAGATTTGGAACTCTTTTCTTCCAGATTTCATATGGGTTTTCTCATTTTCTTTTACAGTTATTCTATTCAATATAAAGCACGCGCTTAGTATAGCTTCCCTCCACAAGTTCTCAGGTAAGCCAGAACTAATTAACATTGAATTCACCAAATCCATCAAGGTTCTATTTTTTCTCTCTGCTACTCCATTAGATTGGGGTGAATAAGGTGGAGTTACTTCATGTATTATATCATGTTCTTCACAAAAAGTGCTACGATCATTTAAAGTATGCTCACCTCCTCTATCGGACCTAAGTTTTTTCACTTTACTTTCAATTGATTTTCTACCTCGGTTTTATGGATCTTAAATTTATTAAATACCCTCTCTTGGTCTTTAATAAGATAGACATAGCAATATCTAGAACAATCATCTATAAAAATCACAAAATATTTATTTTCAGCTCTTGTCAATGGTTTACTAGATTACACACATCGCTATGTATAAGTTCTAGGAGTTGCATGTTTCTTTCTACACTCTTGTGAGGTTTTCTAGTTTGTTTGGCCTGTACACACACTTCACACTTATGTTTAAAATCTAAATTAGATTTAAGAATAAAATTGAGATCCATCATTCTTTTAATTTTCTTTACATTTATATGTCCTAATCTTTCATGTCATACATTGCAAGATTCAACATTAAAAACATTGGAAAATATTTATTAACTTCCATCCGAACATTTAATTTGAACAAACCATCACAAACATATCCTTTTCCAATAAATAAATTATTCTTAGTTATTACAACCTTATTTGACTCGAAAACAATTATATATCCTTGTTGAACTAAAGATGATCCACTAACTACATTCCTTCTAACTTCTGGAACATGTCACACATCCTTCAAAATCAAAGTCTTCCCAGATGTCATCTTTAATTCCAAATCACCAATTTCAAGTACTTGTGTGACCAAATCATTCTCTAAAGTGACACTTCCTCCACTTGAATTCCGATAAGTTCAAAACATCCACCATCAAAACCAACATGTAAATTAGCTCCAAAATCTAAACACCATCTTTGTTTTCATAAGTAAAATTAATCAATAAGGTTTTATACCTAAAAGAAGGCTCGGCAGAATTGTTTCCATTCATCAACATATTAACTTGAGCTCTTTGACATCTTTGATTTGAATTATTCCTGGTGCATATGGAGCAGTCTTCTTGAAATAGCAATTCTTAGCCAAATGGTTGGTCCTTCCACAGACAAGGCATGATCTTTTCTCTATCTCTAAGCCCTGTGGTTTATTACTATTATTATTTTGTTTGTTTTGATCATTATTATTAGGATCATTATTGAAGCGTTTATTAAATCAATTATTTTTAAAATTCCTTCCCTAGGCCAAAAATTGTTTTTATAATTGTTGTTATTCCTATAATTAT